CTCAGCCTTAGTTTAAACTGGGAAACTGTCAGCTTTTTAGCCCAAGCTAAATCCAAATATGCAAGAGAATTCTTGTAATCCTGGTATTCAGACAAGGCAGCCATTAACAGACACATAGAGATTAACAGCATCTATGTACTATTCAAAAGAGACAAAAGACCAGAAGATCGCCTCACCAGCAGTCAATCACCAGCAATCATCACCCAGATAAGCCAAGGTCACCACCAGGCACACAATCAAACAGCAAACATATGCCAATCAAAGAACTACCAGAGGAGCAACACAAAAAAACCCCACTCTCACCAGCTCTGGCAAGGCAGGCCACAGCACATAAATAGAGAGCAAACCCCATCCCATTTCAGCACTGAAGATGTTACCTAGCTGGGTCATGAAACATTTGCAAGAAAAGAGCGAAGCTCAGAGAACCCCATGGACTCCACAGTTCAACCCTGAGCTACAGATATTCACCTCTGTTAGAGGGGCATGTGGCAGGATCGGCTGCTGATACTAAATCCTTAGATACGACGAAAGGGGATTTACAGGGCTGCTTTGATATAATTTGAATCAAAGGAACCGAACAGTTCAATTCGAGAGAAACTGGGCCATTTTAGACTGTAGATATTCAGGACATTTCTTTATAAGGTTTCCGCACATTGCACAAACACCCCCCCCCCACAGGGACAGACCCCTCCTCTGTCGAAAAATGGCATTCCATGAAGTCTAGAATTCTGGGACTTAACAAACGGGCTTTCCCAGGGTGGATATTGTTTGCAGCATCTGCCTTTTGCAGTGGTGTTCCATGTCCAGTTATCCAAATGTGTAAATCCGTTCTTAATTATCTCAGGCCCAACCCTTAAAAGTAATATTTCTATTTTAAAAGGTAGCGGAAGACTCTTCTACCAACTAAAAATGCCTTGAAATCACTACTCTAGATGATAAACTCCTGCAGGAGTATATATAGCAACCGACCAGCTGAAGTTTATCACAGCTTGTTTGTTTCTGGTCAAAAATATATTAAATTAAACCAGCCACTGGTATATTCCTTTTCCCATTAAGCAATTTTATTGCTGGAATTTTTTTCCCAAGCAAGCTTAAATCTTTTCTCCCTTATCGTCATATTTTGACGCTTTCCACGGTCAGCAAAATGACCCAAAAAGAGGTGTTTCACATTGTCTTCTCTGCGTGGCAGTTATGGTAAAAAATTGAATCAAGGGTGGGATGAAATGAATGCTGCCACCCAGGCGATAAGGCCTTTATCAATAATTTGGCCTGGTGGCTTTTCATGGTGCATCATGAAGATGAAGATAGGAGCTTTTCCCAGGGCATTGCATGTTTCAAAGCACCAAGGAGCTTCAGTCATGGATTTATCTGGCCTAGGGGAGGCCATGTAATTACTCAGGGGGCTGCGCTGATGAATGAAGGGAGTTGTAATAACCTTTGTAAAGATCATTGTCATTTATGGTCAAACAAGCATGGCCTGTTCCCATTTACTGTTGCTGATTGTCATATCCTTACATTAATTTGCACATTTCCATGTTAATTAAAACAAACAACTTCTAAAACACATATTTAAATGTTTATCTTGAGCCATTGAAGAGCCAAGAGTTGTACTGCCGCACTGGGAGAAATGCACTATAGTGCCAACCTAGCCAAAGATGGCTTATTCAACAAGCTATGTATCAGCTAACAGTGGTTCAGTACCGTGTGAGAACCCAGTCAATTAAATCAGGCTATCTAGCTCTGAATTAACCAAGTTCACACTCTGGACTAAGCCAGGATGTATTGAATCATGATTTGTTGAGCAAGCCATAGTTTACATATCCTACTAAGGTAAATGTGGCTTATTTGACTCAGCATGTGTGAAGCTTTATATAGTTCGTAAACAATAGTTGTGGCTTAGCACAATGTGTGGACCCACAATGTGTAGCTTACTCAAACAAACCTTGGCTGATCGAAACAGGTGAGTTGCAAGAACCAGAGCATGTTGACTTGATTCAACACTTAAAATTAAGCTACAAATGATCATTTATAATCACAGTACATCTTGCGATGCCCAAACCAACCAACCTCCATCCCCATATACTGTAGTGTGATATGTAATGATGCTTCCCCAGGATTTCAGGCAAGGGTCTACCTTAATCCTAGCTGGATTTGCTGAACATGACCCAGATGACTTCCACAGCAATGGAGATGTCGCCACACAGACAGGGGTATCCACAGGTGGGTCAAAAAAGTCAAGCTGGCACCCATGGCTGTGCAAGAGAAGCCCTGCCCTTTTTCACTTGCACAGCCAAAGAGACGGGGTTTGATCCTGCAAGTTGGGGTGCTGTCTTGCCTTTTTTGACCCCCCTCCCATGGACACCCCTGACTACAGAGCAATGGACTTTCTACTAAGCCCAGATGTCGGAGTCTTTCCCAAGCCCTCCAGAGTCACTGCCTTCTCCTGAGCCCCCGATGTTTCTTCGCAGGTGTCAAGAGGAGTGCCCGGTGGGGACGTTTGGCTTCCAGTGTGTGCAGAAGTGCGATTGCGAGAACAGGGCCAAGTGCTACCACATCAACGGAGCGTGCCTGTGTGACCCAGGCTTCAAGGGGATCCATTGCCAGGAGCGGATTTGCCCGGAGGGATACTATGGACTGAAATGCAACAAACGGTGTCCGTGTCATGCTGCAAACACAGTCAGGTATGTGCGTGGTGTTTCTGCGAAGGGAGAGAGGTGGAGTGAAATGCTTTCCTGTGGGCAGGAGGAAAAAAGTCATCGGTTGCTTTCTCGGGCTAAAGGAAGAGACCCATCTCCTGGAAAGCCCGGTGCAAGAAATGCGGGCATGGTGTGGCCAGATCAGGTGTGGGAACAGCACCTTGTTGGGCTCTGTTGGAAAAGGGAGAAATTGAACTGGAGATAAGAGCATCTTTAAAATGTTATTGACGCGGTCTTTCTCCCTTTTCTAGGGTCTCAGTTTGTGGGGGAGTGTCTATCGGGCCTGTGCCAGTGAGTGGGCTCCTGGCCCTCCTGCCCTCCCTTTCTTTCTCTTTGAGAATCTGCTTTTTTCTCCACCCTTCTTCTGGGAAATCCTTTCTTGCTTGAAGAGTTGTTCCAGAAAACAGGGTGTGGGTTTATTCTTTAGAGCAGTGTTCTCAACCTTGTCAACTTTAAGATGGGTGGACTTCAGCTCCCAGAATTCCCCAGC